TGGGGAGGAAGTGAGGCCTGGAGTCGTCTCTGTGCTCCTCTTCCGAATCAATCGACTCCACGTCATGGTCTGCAATGTCATTGATACAAGTTTAAAAGTTTGTAAACCAGATTTAACCATCAAGTTTAGAAATGGCACGTTTAGGAACCATCAAGAACGTTTACCACTGTAAATCTGCAGGTAATTCTGCACTTTTACTGTAACTCCATCACACATTTACAGTATATTCTATTGCCACAGCTTCTCGTGTTCTGTCATTCTTTAACATGCTTCTTCATCTCTTCTTGTCTTTTATGTTTTAATACATGTTACTCCTTTTTCACCTTGGCATACACCAGTAACTTTAAAATACCAGCACGTCTGGTAAGAGACAACGCCCATGAGGAAAAGTGAGCTAAATTCTGCACCAGACGCAGATGCCGAACAGAGCCGGAATTCCAGGTGGTCAGAAAGGTCTTACCGTCGACACTTATTTCATACTGCAGCTCGTAGGGTGATGAAGTGGGTTCCTCATCTGTATGGCAAACAGGGAAAAGCAGTATGTTTTCAACAGGTCAAAACAAAAGGCTCCAACACTCTTTGTCTGACTAAGGAGTTCACTGGAGATGTAGGATTAAGAGGAAACGTGAGAATATAAAAAAAGTTACAAGGAAGAGGAGCCATTTGACCCACAAAGCCTGCCTGACAATAGCAGCTCACTGATCCAGCCAAGGTAATGACTAACTGCTTGGCTGGAAAGCTTGTTACACACTCCCACAACTGATTGTGTAAACAAGTGTCTCCTGTAACTGGTTATAAGGGCATTCCCCTGTAATAACCGCTTATGTCCTTTGGTTAGTGTTTCACTGCTCCATCTGAAAAAAACCTCAGGGTTGACACGCGTGAAACACACTGTCAGCGTCTCTGCCTCAAGTTATTGGAACCCGGAGCCGCACATCAGCCAGGGCACCGGGGTTGGCATCCATGCCATCCCGAGCCGGACTGTGGGCTCTCCAGTGAACACACAGCCAGGACCTCAGTGCAATACCTCACAGCAAGACAGAAAAAAGGCTGAAGATAGAGGACGACTCACGGGATGCAATGCAGTACACTGGAGTGGGCTCTGCCAGCTCTTCCTTATGGGCCGCAGCCTGAGCCCTCATGGGCAGGGACACAGGGATGGGCAGGGCCTGGGGGGCCGGAGGAATGCAGTTCCCGGGCCCCGCCAACGGGGCGGAGGAGGAGGAGGAGGAGGGCATGCCCACCACGACTTCCTCCTCCTCGTCCGGCTCCCCCTCCTGCTCCGCCCTGGCCGGGCCCTGGCGGTCGCTGTGGCCGAGCCGGACGCCCAGGCCCAGGTAGGGCCCGGCCTCGAGGGGCAGCGGCGCGCGCAGGCTGGCCAGCTGCAGGATCTGGTGCACCACGCTCTCCACGGGCGTGAGCTCGCGCGACAGCCGGGCCCTGCCCCCCGTCACCGGGCCGCCCGCGCGAAGGGCCGCCACCTTCCGCTTGGTGTCGCACTTGAGGTCGGACCACTTCTTGATGACCTCGATGATCTCGCGGGGGCACTGGCTGACCTCGTTGATGCGGGCCGTGATGTCCGCCCAGGTGCGCTTCTTCACCTCCGTCGACACGCCGCGGTTGAACTTGCCTGCGAACGCGCAAGAACAGGCTGGCCACTCTCCAAACACCACACCATCCTCCAAAATCTGACCAGAAAATACAGCTACTCCACTTCTCCTTCCACTGCCTTGTTTTCTCTTCCCTTAAAATAAATCGATAATCCTTACACCTATATAGCACTTTTCTGGACACTCCACTCCAGCACCAGTGTGCAGCCCCACCTGGAAGATAATCCAGTACACTCCCCACACACCAGCTCTCAGTGGGAGGAGAGCAGAGTGATGAAGCCAGTTCAGAGAGGGGGGTTATTAGGAGGCCATGACTGGTAAAGGCCAGAGGGAAATTTGGCCAGGACACCGGGGTTACACCCCTACTCTTTTCGAGAAACGCCCTGGGATCTTTAATGACCACAAAGAGTTAGGATGTCAGTTTTATGTCTCATCTAAAAGACCGGCGCCTTTTTTTACACCGGAGTGTCCCCGTCACTATACCGGGGCGTTAGGACCCACGCAGAGCGCAGGGTGAGCAGTGCCCTTTGTGGGCACCAGCTGCTGAGAGGGAAAGGGCAGCCAGGGCGCGCTTACCGATGACGATATTGCGGTTCTTCCTCACTTCCTCCAGCAGGACCTGGATCTCCCGGTAGGAGAAGCGGGACTTCCTCTTCTTGAAGTGCAGCACGCTCGCGCCCCGGTTACCGGAGCCCTGGTGGAAGGAGGACATGCTGGCGCTGTGTCCCGCGGGCCGGCGGGCCCTCCTCCTCACCCCGTCTGCTGCCCACCTGTGGGGCAAAGACCCCCCTTTTTATACAGCTGATCCCGGAGGGGTGAACCCATGCTACAGACAGGCCAGTGACACACATTTCGGTTTTTGTTGCACTTTCCAAGATGAAACCCTTTTTTAAATGTATTTATAGCGTCTGCTATCCTGCGGGGTGTCAAAGCACTTTTCATGTAGGAAGAGACTCTTCACCCCCCCCACTGAAGAGCAGCCCCGCCGCACACAGACCAGGGGGAGGACAGACTGTCCAAACTCAGAGTGGGGTTCAGCCAGGATCCTGGGGTTAATACTCCTACTCTTACTGACAGTGCCCTTGGAAAACGACAGCATGTAGTCAAGACCTCGATTTAACATCTAACGCACAGCATGACACCTGCCCAGCCCAGCCCAGCCTTGCTCAGCTCAGAGATCTGACAAGATCAGGATACAGGATGGTAATCCAAGCGTTGAAATTGAATTAATACAGCCTGAGGAAATAGGGAGGTTTGTGTGGGAGATATCCTGTAATATGTTGACCATTAAGTTAGTTTTTTGTACATTTGTAATTGATACTTGTCATTACTTGAATAAAAGCACGCTTAATGAGTTAGTTGCAGTAAGTTTGTATCTGCTGAGCTAAAGGCGCAGAAAACCGTTAGTGCCCCTTCATTGCTGATTAAAAGAAAAAAAAGGAAGTCAAATGTTGAGCAACACTAAAAAAAGCGATAATTGAGTATTTAAGTTTTTTTTCTAAATTGACCAACCTCCACATTTCAGTACTGCTTTTGGTATTGCACGGTGTGGAGAAACCCGAGTCAATTTTGCCAGCGGTAAAGTATCTTGATTCCGAGCGCCAGAATTTATCCTCGCAAACAAAAGCGCACAAATAATTCAACACCGAGCTCGCCAGCGCAGCCTGAACCCTCCTGTCCTCCAGCAGTGAAGCCGGGACTTGCAATGATTCATTTAATAGAACATTTACATGCATATATAAACGATAAGTTGCTCTTCGACAGGTTTACAAGTATCTGAAATTTTATTTTTAAACGTTTCTTTTATAGCACGATCAGCAGGCTGAATACTCAGCGCCCTCCTCGATCTCGTAGCTGAGCGCTCGGGGCTGTGCCATTCCGCGGCCTCTGTCTTTAAGTTAACCATTTAGGGCACCTGCTGCGCTCTGCTGTGCTCGTCTTCCTCTCCGATGCGCATTTCCCCGTGCTAAACAGCCGCACCACAGAGCGGCTCGCGTCTGCGTCTGCGTGTCCTGACTAGCGCCTCCGACCTCAGCTCCGCACACAAAGACTCGTCTCCGAGCCTCGCAGGAACGCGGCTACCGACACTTCACACGTGTGCTCCGCGCAAGATAGGCGTCCCGCCGCCGTTATAAGCTCTGCTTCGTCCCCCCCC